CGGCCGCCCGATCGAGGAGATGAACATGGTAATGGCACTGTACGACTCAGGGGCCACCGGCCCGGGAGGCGAGACCTGGGAGACGATCGCGAAGCGAGTGCACGCCAACCTGGGACACGCGGACCTGCGAAGGACCACCTTCGTCCTGAAGATGGCCAAGGCCAAGCCGGAGCTACTGGATGCGATGAAGAAAGTGATCGAGAAGTGCGACGTCTGTGACGCGACGAAGCATCCCAAGTCGACGCCGCCGGCGAGGCTGCCCGCGCCGGAGAGCTTTGAGTTCAACGAGGTGATCGGCATGGACCTGCTGTTTGTGGACACCACTTGGGACAGCGAGGACAAGCCCAAGAACGAGACCACCCCGTGCCTCAACATCGTCGACTGGGGAACGGGCAAGCAGATGGTCATCAGGCTCCCGGACCGAGAGAGCACGACGATCAGGCAGGCATACCGGAAACACTGGATGCGGCCATACGGGAGACCAAAGCGACTCATCAGCGACCAGGAGAGGGGCATCATCCGCGGGATCTTCGCGGATAGGGCTAGCGCCGAGGGCACGGAGCTGGACCCTGTCGGAGCCGAGAGTGAGTACCAGAACGGCAAGACCGAGACGGCGGGCCAGCTCTGGAAGAGGACGTACTACCGCATCAGGCTGACCGAGGCGATCTTGAACGCCGACGATCAGGAGGAGCTATTCGACGCGGTCAACTGCGCGGTGAACGAGAGAGGTGCGGATCTACGAGTGTTTGGTCGAGGAGTTCGATTGCCGGAGGGCACGCACGACGACGACGATGACGTGAGCCTGGAGACGGTGTCACGCCACGCTGCAGGGGACCGAGCCCTCGCGAGGTCAATCGGGTTGCGATTGGCAGCCCGGGAGGCGCACGCCCGGGAGTCGGTGCTGGACCGCCTGGACAGGGCAAGAACAGGAGGAGCACCCCCTTTCGAGGCGACTGGAAGCCGGGCGACAAGGTGTACTACTGGAGGCAGCAGGGGCCCAAGCGAGAGGCCTGGGAGCACTGGAGAGGACCGGCCACCGTCATCAGCACGAACATTCCCGGGAAGGCCTACGTGTCCTATCAAGGTGGCGTCATCCTGTGCAGCTGGAAGCAGCTGAGGGCCGCCACGACGGCAGAAGTTCAAGCGAATCGATATGTGACGGAGACCGGCGGGGCGCGCAAGCCTGTCGGATCCCAGGGCAAGCGAGCGGTGGAGGACATCTCGGACCAGCTGGACCCACCGGGACCCGAGGCAGAGGACCAGGCGGAGAGCGAGACGAAGGACGAGCAGCCGAGGGAGGAGACGACGCCACCCATCCCGGTGCCGGAGGTGTTCGGACCTGACGGCGAGGGCGCGGCCGAGCAACAGGAGGACGTCCCGATGATTGGGAGGCCGTCGACCGAAGAGGCCCCGAGGAGGCGCTACACCTCCAAGAGGAGCGCCCGTGAGAGCTACGCACCGGCACCGGTGCCAGAAGGACCTGGGTCGCCGAAGAAGCAGGTGGACGAGACGCCAGAGATGCCCATGACTGACGACGCGACAGGCACAGTGGAGGCGGCGTTCCTCTCCGTCAAGCAGGCGGCGAAGCGGAAGGAGGTATACCTCAGAAACCTCACGGAGGACGAGAAGGAGGAGTTCATGGAGGCGAAGGGCACGGAGTGGAACAACATCAAGGGCGCGAAGGCCGCGCGCTTTGTGCCGCCGTCCGAGGCGAACGAGATCAGGAAGACGCACGGGGACAGGATCATGCCTAGCCGACACTGCTACACGTGGAAGCAGAAGGATGGCCGACGGCAGGCAAAGTGCCGCTGGGTCGGACGTGGAGACAAGGACCCGGATCTCGCCGAGCTGGAGACCTACTCGCCCATGGTATCAAAGGAGGCCTGGATGATGAGCATGCAGCTGAACGTGTCCATGGGCTTCGACATCGAGCTGGGAGACATCAGCTCGGCCTTCATGAACGGGCGCCGGTATCAACGGAAGCAGGGTCCGCTCTACTGTGAGCTACCCGCTGACGGAGTCCCTGGAGCTGAGCCGGGGTCGCTGCTAGAGGTGCTGGTCTGCGTCTACGGATTCGGAGACGCGCCGCTGCAGTGGTACAAGAGCTTCACCACCGAGGCTCTGGCCGCGGGATTCAAGATTAGCTCGTATGACCCCTGCCTACTCTACCTGCACCAGGACGGCAAGTACCGAGGATCGATCGCACTGGCAGTGGACGATACATGCGGCGGAGGTGATGAGTATTTTCAGAGGGCAATGGAGAAGATCAAGCGGAGGTTTCCCTTCGGCAAGTACCGGAAGGGCAAGGGCGATTTCCTGGGCAAGCAGCTGGAGCAGCTGCCCGACAAGTCGGTCAAGATCAACCAGAAGAACATGGTCGATGAGATTGAGATGATCAACATCACAGCCGGGCGCCGTGCGACGCCCGACGGGCCGTGCAACGATCAGGAGATATCCGCGCTGAGAGCCGTGGCAGGATCCCTCAACTACGTGGGACGCGAGACACGCCCCGACCTGAGCGGGCCAGTCTCGCTGCTACAGGGCACTTTCCCGAAGCCGAAGGTGTCCGACCTGCTGGAGGGGAACCGGGTGGCCAGGATCGCCAAGGATTTCTCCCGCACGACGCTCTGGATCAGGCCGATTAGTCTGAAAGACCTGGGCTTCTTTGCGGTGGCGGACGCGGCCTGGGCGAACGCGAAGGGCCAGGCGAGCCAGGCAGGCTGGCTCCTCCTCGCTGGCGACGTGAACATCTGCAAGGGAATGTGGGGCAAGATATCCCCGATGGCATGGAGATCCCACCGGCTCGCTCGGAAGGTGCCGAGCTCGCTGGCCGCCGAGACGCTGGGAGTGGACGAGGGGCTGGCGAACGGAATCTACCTACGCAGCCTGTTCGCCCAACTGGCTTTTCCTGGCCTGGACGCCCGGACGGCGCCCGAGGCCGGCAGGACGTTCCCGCTGACCGTGGTCACGGACAGCAAGTGCCTGCACGACCACCTGCACAACATCTCCGGCGGCCCGAGCAAGGACCGGAGGACCGCTCTGGACATCGCGATACTGAAGGAGAGCATGCAGGGCAGTGGTGCCAGCATCCGCTGGGTGGATGGTAAACGGCATCAGATCACCGACTCTCTGACGAAGCGCAACGGGTGTGCCGACCTACTGCGGGGCATCTTGCAGAAGGGAGAGTACGTCATCGTGGAGGAGGACCAGGCGCTCAAGATCCGAGAGGCTGAGAGAGCTTCGAGAGTGACGAGAAGAGGAGCGTTCGGGAGGCCTACGACGAGAACAGCATCCTCCACTGAACCGAGGCGCACGAGCTCACCCGTATTATACAGCGCTGCGCGCTCCATGTTAGATACGCGCGCTGCGCGCGAGAGTTGGATTTTAAACCCTGGTCGAACCGTGTCGAGTTGCGAGGGGAGGCTGCCTACAGGTGTCTTGGCATCTAGAATTCTGGGGCGTGCGAGTTGACCCAGGGTCCCTCTAGAGGCCTTCTGAGGATGCCAGACACTCAGCCCCTTTCCGCAACCTTTTGGTTCGATCAGGGGCTTCGGCCCCTTGGAGGCAGACACATGTTAGCCTGAGCTGATACTGAAAACGGAGGCATACGAGAGCTCACGCTTACGTTTCCGCCGCTCCACCGTGTTCGGTATATTCCCAATATTTTCATATTTTTGGGTTTTTTTTATCTTCCCGCCCAATTCCCATATTTTCCCATATTTTCTTCGGGATCGACGACTAATTGTGTCTGTGTGTTTTTTTTTTCCTCCTGATTGTTACTGTCGCGGACCCTGATGTCCGGTCGCTGCATTTTTGTTGACACAGGGCGTTTTCGCCCGGTTTCGGATCCTGGGGCCCTCACAGATCGATCTGGCCAGAAGAGCGGCGCGCAGAGATTGGGCATGGGCCTGCGGTCGTGACTTCGTTGCGATGCCCACTCTTCTTCGAAACATCAGATGTCAGTGGACTGTAGCAAAACCGCGCGCTCAGAGATGTCCAGTGGCCAGGGGGGGTTGACAGCCCAGACCCCCGACGTCGTGATTTGTTCACAACGTCGACCCCCAGAGGTCTGGACCCCTTCCCGAGGACCAGTTTTTTATCCTGAGTCGTATTTTGACGGTCCCGGGGACAGGGAAGGGCCCCCGGAGGCCGAAAATAGCGAATCATGCCTTTGTGTTCTTCACAACGCGAGGAGGTCTGGGAGGGAGGGAAGCAGGAGGTGCATTGGCGTGTGGCATCGTCACCTAGAAGGCTGGGCACAGAACTGTCCCGCCTCACCCCCAGAGGTGCCAGGTGCCGGACGGCTCGCATCAAAAACGCCTTGGGCGTTTTGATTACGATTTCTGTTGTGGGAGGTTGAAAGCTAAAAAAAAACGCTACGTTGTTTTAGCTTTTGTGGTGCAGTTGTGTTGGCGCTTTGTTGTAGTTGTTTTGGCGTTTTCAGGCTGAAAGCGCTAAAACAATGTCTGAAAACGCTAATGCAAAACGAACATGTCGAAAACAGAGGCGGGCCGGACCATCTCTCGAGCAAGCTCCACAGAAGCAGTCTGTCGTCAGCGACGCTTACAGCCTCCACGATGCTCCCGTGGAGATGTACGGAAGGCGTCGGGCTCGAAAAGAGCTCCGCTCGTCTAGTCTATCTTCCCTCCCTTCGTTCCTCCCTTCCCCGGCCTCCCTCCTTGTCTTCCTGCACGTGCGTAGCTTCCTACACCTGGTCCCCTGCTCCTCTTCGTACTTCTTCGCCTTCACAAGCTCCCCCCCCTCGTCTTCCTCCCGCCTGTGCCCGTCCTCGTTTTCCTCCTCCTCCTCCTCCTCCTCCTCCTTCTCGTCAGTGTCCTCCTCCACGTTATCTGTGTGCTGTTCCCCCTTCCTCCTTCCTCGCTGATCTTCCTCCGTACTCCACCTTCGCTTCCCGCTCTTCCTCGAGCTTTCGCCTCTGTTTCCCTCCTCTCACTCCCTCTCTCCTGTCCTCTCCCCCTCCCTTACGAGCACTCGTGGAGGACTTCGCCTGGGCGGCCCGGAAGAAGGAGCACAAGCCGAAGTTGAAGCTGAGGGGGCGCCCCCTGCATCCGGGCGTCGGGGAACACACCGATATGTCACGTGGGCGTGTTCGCTCGGCTTCGGGCCCAGGGGCCCTCATGGATCGTCACGCTTCGAGAGACGCAGCACATAGACGGGTTGTCGTGGACTGCGGCCGTTTACGGCGGTTCGATCTTCGCACAGCGTCGGAGGTCGGGGGATGAGGGCTCCGCATTGTGTGGGGCGCGCCCGGCAACCGTCTGCACTCTGTCATGCTGGCCTGGACTTCCACGGTTCCAGGGAGGGCCGCGATGGGGCCCCCCTTGGTTTGGTCCCTGCTGTGCAAGAGGCAGTTCGAGCAGAATGATGCGGCGCTGGCGGAAGAGGAAGAGGTAGCGAATCATGAGAATGATAAATGATAGGGAAAACGAGTTCCTTCAAACACTATGCCCTCGATATTATTAATTTGCGGTGGCCGGATTACGGAATCGGTGCTTTGCTCCCGTCGTTCAGAGTGGCGCTCTCGCCTCAGCGCATTTACATTTCTGTTTCTGGTTCCGTCGTCGCGGCTGTTCCCTTCTCCGCCTTCCCCTGACCCTGCTGCTCATCCTGCTCTTCCTCCACATCCACCTCCATCCACCTTTGCCTCCTCCTCCTCCCCCTCCTCCTTCTCCTCGTCCTCCTCTTTCTCCAATGTGCAGTTCCACCTTGCCCGATGGCGCAGCAAACGATGGGGCAAATCCTGCAACCGCGATTTCGGGGCCGAAGTCCACTGAGGACACCTGGGTCAGCGGACAGAAAAGGACCCAAGGGATAGGATGGGCGGGAGGGGCAGGCTGTCAGGTTTGGTGCGAGCACACCCAGCCTGCCCTTCGCCCCACCCCTCTCCCTCCAGTGCCTCCTCCCCTCCAGGGCCGTCAACAAGGGACGCATATGAAAAGCTGGTCCCCGAGAACTGGGGAGCCACGCACGCATTAAAACAATCACGACGTCGGATGTCTGGGTCGTCCCACTCCTCCCCCTCCCTCCCTCCCCTCTTTTGCGATCAGGCCCAAGAGGCTCCCAAGGCCCCCCCTGGGGGGGACCACTGGGATCTTCCGAGGCAGGCTTAGAGCTTAGAAGTTTAGAAGGATTGTTCGTCCGCGAGGCAGTCGCTTTGTGCGGAGGAGGAGGAGGAGGAGGAGGAGGAGGAGGAGGAGGAGGGGAAAGAGGGGAGGAGGAGGAGGAGGGGGAGGAGAAGGAGGAGGAGGAGGAGGAGGAGGAGGGGAAGGAGGGGAGGAAGAGGAGGAGCAGGAGGAGGAGGATGAGGAGGAGGAGTCCAGCCACCTCTGATGCGCCAGGCCTATTTCCGTTACGACGCGTGGCAGCGTTGGCCAGCTACCTCGCCCAGACTCAATTCCGCATCCACGCTAGAACACATCGTTTTATCCCTCCTCACCTTACCCCAACAGGTACCACCAGTGGCCTATACATCGCAGGACTTCTCGCTACATCTGGCAACAAGGCTCGAATACTACAGCGAGATCTCAAAGCCAACTAGTGGCGAGGGGGGGTTAGGCTGGGGCCGAGGAGCCACGTGCCGCAAGCGAGATCACCTCGCGGGCGTGACTTCCCCCACACACCCAGGCCACCGCCGGGACGAGCGCGGCCGCTGTCCGACCGCGACTGCAGCACGACTTTGTTGCATCCTCTTTCCTCACACCCACGCTTTGATCCTTTGCACGCCCTTGCGGGCGCCCGCCACATGGAGATGTGGCTGGGGTGGCGTCTACCAACCAGCATCCATCAACCCCTCCCAGCAGCCCTCCTGTCTCAACTGCCGTCCCTTGCATTGCCGCGGTCTCCGCCGCCAGGCATCCCCCCCGTCGCCCTCCCTCCCCTTCATGATCCTCTTCCCTCTCCTCCTCCTTCCCCTTCTTACTTCTGTCCGCCTGTCGTGTGCCCCCATATTTATACGGTAGGGGCGTTCGTTAAGGAATGCGCCCAGGAGGCTGCAGACCCTGGAGGATTCCTCCTATGCAGAGGGCGGCAGGTCCCGTGGCCTCCCCCAGGGCGGTGCTGGTTTCCCCCCAGCACTCGCCGCCCTGGGGCGGGACCGGCGGCTCGTCTTTGTCGTGTCGTTCGTCCGTGTCGTGTCGTTCGTGTCGCGTCGGTCGTTTCGTCCCCCCGTCGTGTCGCGTCGTGTCGTGTCGTGGCGGGCCCCTGGGGTGGGTGGTGGGGTCTGGGGGTGCCTGGCCCCTGCCCGTTCTGTCGGTGGTCGGGTGTTTCCGGCCGGCAAAACGGGGGGGGGGAGCTGGCTATCCATTCCCTGCTGCCCGCTTGCGGGGGGCCCGCCCCGCGCCGTCGGCGACGCAGGTCTCCCGTGGGCCCCCCTCAGCCTCCCCGGCTGGGGCCCCACCCTCTGGGAGTCGTTGCCGAGGGTCCTCTCCCCCCACCTCCAAGGTGTGAGCGCGCCGGAGGCGCCCCGGGCGCGGCCCGCGGGGCGCCCGCGCGCGGGCCAACTGTGGCCCGGGCCAACCGTGGCCCCTCGGTTCTGCCTAACGGCCTGCAGAGAAAAAAAAAAAGATACCCGTGGCCAAGCTTCGATGGGAGTTCCACTGCTCTCCAGACCCTGGATGCCTGATCTAAGGGTTCCCTATCCAATGCCCCCACTGGATCTCCCCCACCAGCCGGCGACTCCTGGAGAGCGGGGTGCTCCAGGAGTCGCCTGGCCTCAGTTTGATCCGCCCCCCTGGGCGGGGCCGGCCCTGGACGGGGGGAGGGCCGCGCTCGGAGTATCCACGTGCCGTCAGGAACCGAGCACCCAGGAGGAGGAGGAGGAGGAGGAGGAGGAGGAGGAGGAGGAGGAGAGGAGGAGGAGGAGGAGGAGGGGAGGAGGATGAGAGGAGGAGGAGGAAGGCGAGAAGAAAAAGGGGAGAGAGGAGGAGGAGGAGGAGGAGAGAGGAGGAGGAGGAGGAGGAGGAGGATGAGGAGGAGGAGGGGGAGTGGCGCGGGCTGTCGGCAGGGGTGGCCCTCCCTCCCCCGACCGCTGCCGGGCCATGCGCAACAGAACTCGACGGAAGTTGTTCCGGTCCCCAGGGCGGTCAACAATCTATTTCGGTCGAGCACTTGACGAAGAGACCTCCTCCCGAACAGTTGGGCCGGCGCTTCCTGGCCGAATTGCCGGAAGGGCCGGAGGCTGGCCCAGTTTCTTCTTGACCGCGTGCTCCCGCATAGATTTGACGACAGGTTTGGCCAAGGTTTGTGCCAAGAACTTCTGGAAAGTTGGCCCGTCTTTGTCTAAGTGATAGGTATACTGATCGTAGCTAAATGCGAACCAGAAAACTAGACTGTAAGAAACCAGCCGAAACATCTGCTGCATTCCGGATGAGAAGCCGATCGCCCCGAGGGGGGTCGAGGCCTCGCGGGGCCTACGTTACGAGAGCTGCAAACTGGTGTGACGTTTTGGGGTTCGGGGTCCTCTCTCCCCCCTCCCTCGTCCCCCCCCTGCGGTCAACACGTCTGGTTTCAGTTTTTTTTGGGGGGGCACCAGATCGCCTGAGAGCTTTCGCGTGCGCAAAACGTCATCCAATCACGAAGCGCGACTCCTGAGTCCCAGCCACCGTCGAACACCAAGCCCTCTTCCTCTCCTCCCATGCCTTCCTCCCGCGCCCCCTGACTCCAGTTCATGTTGCGATGTCGGTCAGGCCAAGCTCAGGGATCTTGGCGAGCCATGTGTGAACCCATTTCGAAGACCCGCACAGAGCATTTAGATACAATCTCTCGCGGGCTTGTCCCCAAAGCTTGAGCTGTAATGACTTTCGTATCAGTCTTGTGATTGCGGTAGCCCTTGTCTCCTCCATCCGTCATCCCTTCCCCCCTTCTCTCCCCCCCCCTCCGCCTCCCCTCCGCCCTCCGCCTCCCCCACAAATCCCTCCGCCCCACTAAACCCTGTCCTCCCCCCTCCCCAACTTCCCTCCTCCCCCCCCCCCCTCCCCCACTCACTCCCCCTCCTCACCCCACTCACTCCCGCCTCCCGTCCTCCCCCACTCACTCCCCTGCCTTCCTTCCGTCCCCTCAACTCCCACCCCCCTCCCTCCCCCCTACCCCTCCGCCCCCCTCCGCCTCCATCCACCCCCGCCCTCCTCCTTCTCCGCCTGCCCTTCGCCCCTCCCCCCCCCCTCCCCCCGCGCGGGCGCGCGGGCAACCAACCCCGGCAGGCGCAGCGCGGTCCCCTCCGCCTCGGTCGACCGCCGGGAGACGGCGAAGCCCAAGCGGAAGGCCAAGAAGCGAGAGGAGCGGCCGCCGGAGGGAGGCTGGAGGAAGGCTCGAGGAGGAGGAGGAGGAGGAGGAGGAGGAGGAGGAGGAGGAGGAGGAGGAGGAGGAGGAGGAGGAGGAGCGGCCGCCGCGACTGACCGTCCCCGATCTGGCGGCTGTAGGCTGGAGGAGGAGCAAGACGAGGGCGTTCCTGCAGTCGCCCTGGGGGTATCCCGTAAACATGAAGCTTTTGGCTCTCCGCGCGGATTTGAGAACTCCGCGCGGAGCGACAACAGTTACGTATATCCATGGCCTTGTTGTTCTTCTGCTTCTTCTTCTTCTTCCTCTTCTTCTTCATCATCTTCTTCTTCTTAGGGAGGCGTTCGCGCAGTCGCCCTGGGGGAAGCAGGGCCTGCGGGCAGAGGGTCCCGAGGCGTTGCGCGGTCTCGTTCGCGTGCGGGGCCCTCCACGGGTCCCCCCCTCCGTCGGAGAACGGCTCGGGATGGCGAGTGAGTCCTCGGCGAGGGCCCCCGGGGTCCAGGGCACGTTTCTCTCAAGACCCGCTTCCCCCGATGCTAAATTGGGAAGGTGCCTCTGAGGCTCCAGGCCCTGGGGGCTTCCTTCTCTGCTGAGGGCGGCAGTGGCGTCCATGGCCAGTTCACGGTTCGAGTTCCACCAGCTTCCAGGCCCCGCGTTCTTTGGCCAAAGGTTCCTCATCCAATGCCCTCACCGTGTGATGAGGAGGAGTGAGAGAATGAAGATCAGAGTCAGGAGGGAAAAAGGGCACAGGCACAAATAAACGTCGACTCCCAGGAAATTTCAAAAATATGGGAAGTGGAGGGAAGACGAAACTGCAGAAATAAATACGATGTATATATACATATATATCTAATAAATTAATAGCAAAATGTAATAATATATATATATATATATTCCGGGGGACGAGGACCGGGGGCCCGGGACGGCGACCTCGACGGCGCATGGGGTACCGGGGCCTCTGGGGCGCCCCCAGGACGGCTCCCGAGGGCGCCGGAGGCCGCCAAACAGATCAAGAGGGCGCACAAGCCTCGAAATGTAGCTTGAAGACGCTGACGATGGCTCCAAGAGGGCTCCCGGAGTCCCCGAGACAGCCCAAGAGGGCCCCAAGAGCACTTCAAGAGGGCCCCAAAAGGCACAAATGGCCCCGCTCCCTTCGGAAAATATACATTTTTCAGGGATTCGCCTCTTGACCTCTTGACCTTCCAGGGGAACGAAGACGGCCCGGGAGGCCGCCAGGATCGCCCCAAGACAGCCCAAAAGGGTTCCAAGTCAACCCAAAAGGGCCCCTGGCTAGCCCAAGAGGTCCCCAAGACGGCCCAAGAGGGACCCAGGACGGCCCCAAGCAGTGGCCCAGAGAGGATGCCCTACGAACATTTCAAGCCCTCCGCCCCCAGAGGTCCCAAGGAGGCCGCAAGAGTCCCCCAAAACGCCCCCAAGAAGTCCCCAAAAAACCTTCAAGAAGTTCCCCCAGAGGCCCCCCAACAGCCCCCCGACCAGACGCCCTCAGGTACTCTTCCCGCTCCCGAAGCTTCCGGACCACTCTTCGCTTCCTGAGGCCCGAAATTGGGCCCGGGACCGTCAACCATTTACGACGAAACACCGGGCCCATTGAAGGTCTTCGGACTTCGGGCCCACTCCAGGGACACCGCGTTGAACAAGTCACGCTAGCGAATCTCTTGGACAGGATGACATACCAGTCCCGTGGAATGCGCCAGACTTTCAGGACCCGACGTGTAGCGACCCGTGGTGGTGATGATAGTGGTCGTGGATTCGCGGCAGTGGCAGTGGCAATGGGAGTGGTATTGGTGGTGGTACAGGCAGAGGTTGAACCAATGGCCGTTATCGCGGAAAGTGCAATCGTCGTGGATGGGGTGGTCATGCCCAGAATGGACATGGAATCGGAAGTGGTCATGACCGCGGTGATGGCGGAAAGGGCGGTGGTAGCCGTGGCGGCATTGGCGGTGTTGAGCGTAGTCGCGGGAGTGACTAGAACCTAAGCGCGCGCGAAGCGCGCGCGTGGTTCTAGTGTGTATATATATATGTATGTGTATATATATATATAGATATATATTTGTATGTAGGAATATTGCGAATCCTGGGATTTGTGCTTATTTCCCCAAACATCTTGCTGAACGGGGTGCTGTTGTGGTAGAAGCTAGTTCCGGCCGGGGGAAGTTCGGTCACAGACGTCCTCAAACAAATCTGGTGGTCTGGGCCGTTTCGCCTGCGACATCTTCACAACTCTCGCTTGTGAGTTGTCCAGGATTGGGCGTTCCGCCTGAGACATCCTCTTCAATCTAAGCTCTGAGATGCTGCGCGCGAGGTGGTCCGGTCCGTTTCGCCTGAGACATCCTCGAAACTCTGAGTGCCGAGATGCCGCGCGAGAGGTGGTTCTGCCCGTTTTGCCTGAGACATCCTCGCCACTCCGGGCTCCGAGCTGCAGTTCGCGAGGTGATCCGGCCGTTGTGGTAAAAGCTAGTCTCGCCCGAGGCGCCGGGGCGGGGCCCATCGCCGGTCGCCGCGGCGCCGCCCCCACCTCCTCACACCAGCGCAGCGACGCCGACGCCGACGCCAACGACGACGACGACGCCGACGACGCCGACGACGGCGACGACGACGCCGACGACGACGACGATGACGACGACGACGCCGATTACGACGCCGACGATGACGGCGCGGCCCCGCTGGGCGCACGCCGGGCTACCGCCTTCGGGGGGTGGCGGCGGCCGGGCGTCACGCCGCGAGATGGAGGAGGAGGAGGAGGAGGAGGAGGAGGAGGAGCAGGAGGAGGAGGACGAGGAGGAGGAGGAGGAGGAGGAGGAGGAGGAACAGGAGGAAGGGGAGGAGGAGAGGGACGAGGAGGGGGGGGGAGAAAGAGGAGCACCACAAGGAGGAGCACGGCGACGAGTATTAGTAACGGGTCAACAACGAGGTGAGGAAGTACAGTCAATGGAGGACGAAAAAGAGGCCGAGGGTGACGACGACGTGGCGGAAGAGGAAGAGAACCAGGAGGATGAGGAGAATGTTAAGTGGGACGAGACCCGGATTTTTTTTATTAGATGGAGGAACGTGAGGAGAGGGGGGAGAAGGATGTGCAGTGGGAGGGCAGGTGGAAGAGGCGAGAAGGAGGATTTCCAGGAGGAGCATGTCGGTGACGAGGATGACGACGGGGCATGCCGGTCAAGAGCAGGATGACGGTCCTTGGGAGACGCGCGATCATTTTCAGG